GACCCTAGACTCACTCCGCTGATTTAGGAGTCCTGGGGAACAGCCCGCACGGCATGTGGTCTGCCGTGGGGTCTTCTCTCACTGGCCTGGTGATTTGGAGGCCCCCGCGGTTCTGTGCCTCTCAGGAGTCCTTCATCCGTCTATCTGTCTCCCGCCTCTCCCGGGGATGTACACAAGCAGGGCTGTTTCCGGGTTTTGGCTATGATGGATAGTGCTGCCATTCACATTCTTGTACAAGTCTGTGTGGACGGATGTTTTCCTTTCTCTTTGGTCAATACCTAGGCCTACAATTGCTGGCTGATAGGGTAAGTAGATGTTTAACCTTATCAGAAATTGCTGAACAGTTTTCCGCCATGGCTATCCCACGCCACGCCCCCACCAGGCGCAGAGGAGAGGCCCCGGATCCCTCTGGCTGCCGAGCAGAGATGGGCAGCGGGCGGGAGAGGAAGCCAGAAGCCAAGGAGGAAGCCCCTGCAGTCACCATCAGGGAGACAACGCTGGCCTGGCCTGGGGTGGCCAAAGTCTGGAGAGCGTCGTCTGTCTGCCGCGTTAGGGAGGGAATCACCACGCACACTTGTCCCCTCCCCCGGTCTGCCTCCTGTGCCCACATGTCCCCGTTCCTGCCAAGGGAGAGGAGGAAGCGAGTCCTGGAGCCTTGCCACGCATAGACCTCATCTGGCAAGGGCTTCCTGGTCCTTCTGCTTCCAGGCCCCACGCTAGGCACTGCTAGGGATCCCTGCCTGCTGGGGTGATCCCAGCCTGGGGCTCCAAGGTTGGCTGAGATCCAGGCAGCAGGAGGGCAGTGGGCAAAGTGCTTTGGGAGACAGAACAGCATGGGGGAAGGAACAGCATGGGCAAAGGCTGGGAGGTAGGAAAGCCAAGGGTATGCATGCAGGAGCGTTGGTGAGTATTCTGGTTAACCAAATATTAGACTATGTGCCAGGCACCAGGCTCAGTGCTTTGCACGAATCATCTCCGCTGAATCCTCACAACTTGGGGCATAGGAGTTATGATTAGTCTGGCTTTACAAAGTAGGAAACTGAGGCACAGAGTGGTCACATGATTCACTCTGGGTCAAACAGCCCAGGAAAGACGAAGCTGGGATTTGCAAGCAGGCAGAGGGAGAGTGTGTAGACAGGAGGCAGACTCCTGGAGGCCCCAATGTTCAGGTCAAACCTCCGCCGTCCGGCCATCCATCTGTCCACGTCCAGGGATGTGGACACACGAGGTGTGCCCAGGAGAAAGTGACCAGGCCGGTGGCCCCTGGGCAGCCTCGTCACTGTGCCTTCGTCTCTGGGGAATAACGTTCGGAGAGGCGCGCGAGGCCGCCAGGCGATCCGGCAGGGCTGGTGCCGAGGGGCCACCCCGCGCTGTCAGACCTCCAGCAAGCACTTCAGCAACTCTCCTTGGCCGCCTGATAGATGAAACAAACTGTTCTCTGGCAAGGGACGAGGGGTTTTGTTCAAAGTCCTGGATCGATTTTACTTCATTATTGCCAGCTGCTGAAAAAGCATCAAGTGGCCTTTCTAGTCTCATCCACTGCCTTCAAGTTGAGGGCTGCAGACTGAAGCCCGAAGCTTGGCTCCTCTCTTCACAGGCCCTCTGCGAGCTCTCCCCGGCAAGCGATTTTCATTCTGGAAATGGCAAGGGTTAGTCAGAAAGGGCATTTTAGGCAAGTATGTGGCTTCTGCTGGAACCTCTGCTGGGTTTCCTTGAAGCTCCCTCCTCGTCACCAATGCTTTCGCTTCCTTGGTGCTCAGTCTCTCCCTGGGGCTTCCAGCTCCCACCCCTGGGCAAGGGGGTGGGGACGGTGCACAAAGTCCACCCTGGCTCTCAAACTTGGCCCCCTGCAGGGGCCGGGTAGGTGGCATAAATGAGGGAACTAGCCAGGTGGGGAATGTGGCACCCTGGGGAGCCCATGCCCCCATGTGAGGGGCTGGCTGATGCCACTCAGCTCCAAGTGATCGCAGACAGGTAGATAATGGGCCCCAAGGGGCTCCATCTTGCCATTTGTCCAGAGAAAACAGACACTCAGTTTGCTAAAATGTGAAATCTTCCAAAACTTTATTCACGGTAGTTAACTCAAAATATTTTAAAGCCCAGGAGAGGCTAAAGGAGCACCTCTGGGAGCTGGATTCAGCGTGGGCCCAGTTTGAGAGCCCTCCTCACGATGGCTCAGGGAGGCAGCACTCACTGTCCCACATACGGAGGAGGAAACCGAGGCCCAGAGACGGGGTGTGCAGGCCCAAGTCACACAGCGGGGAAGCAGCAGAGGGGGGAACACAAACTGGGGGTCTCAGGCCTCATGCAGAGCTCTCCCCTCCCCATCCTGCACTCCTCCCGGGGCCCCCGCCCCAGCCCCTCGCGACCTCTCCTGCTGCCTCTCCTGGGCGCTGAGCTGGAGCACTTCCGGCTCTCCTGCCTTCTCTCTCCCTCTCCTGCTCTGGGGTGCGTTTTTGTCTGGCAACTACTAGAGGCCTTGAATCCCCTCACTCCGGATTGTGGTCTCTGACAGATTAATGGTTACCAGGGGAAAGGGCGGTGGGGGTGGGCACAAAGGGTGAAGGGCTGAGCCTAGAATATGACTGACAGATAATAATGTACAACTGAAATTCCACAAGGTTGTAAACTGTCATAACCCCAATAAAAAAATAAAATAGAAAATAAAACAAGATTGTGGTCTCCGGAACCAGATGGCCTGGGTTTGAATTCCAGCTCTACTGCCGGCCGGCTGAGCAACCTTGGACAAGTTACTTAACTTCTCTGTTGGCTCAGTTTTCCTTTCTGTAAATGGGAGAGATTAATAGTACCGACCTCATAGGGCCGTTGTGAAGATTCAAAGCATTAACATACATAAATGCACCGAACCACGCCTGGCACGGAGCTGAGCACTATATAGAGTTTGTTAAATAAAAGAAAGGCAGCAAATGTTTATTGAGTACCTACTATGCACCAGGCCCTGTAATGGACCCCGGGACTCTACCGGGCACAAAGGACATGATCTCGTCCCTCACGGAGGTGATCGCCTACAGGAGGAAGACGGATGGCTGGATGAGCCTCGTCCGTGTGTCCGGGGCCAACACCATCTGTGCCACACTGGCCTGCCTCAACGTCAGACCATCCAATGGCCCTCTCCAAGCTGCAGCCCTGGACAGGCCCCTCCCCATCTCCTCTGTGGCCTCCACTGCCCCCCAGGCTCTCGGGGACCCTCCGCTGGGCCTGTATCGCCTGTGCTCAGGGCTCCACTCTCGCCAGCAGGCCTCTGCAGGGCAGCGTCCTCTGCCCGGAACGTGCTCCCTCCACTCTTCCCTTCAGTCCCCGGCCTTAGTCAAAGCCCGCCCGCGGGGGTGCAGACCTCCGCTCCAGGGTCCCTTCCCCACACTATGCCCTGCCGCTTTGTGCTGTGCGCAGTGACACACACACACGGAGTCTGGGGAATTTGTGCTTGCCCTCTGCTCCTTCAGCTCATGGAGGACCCTCACTCACGTGAGAGAAGGGGAGAGACAGGGGGACCCATCACTTCTCCGCGGCTTGGGCTTCCTTGCCTAGAAAAGGGGCGCAGTTACCCTGAACTCAAAGGAGAGAGCTGAGGTGCCCAGAAGTGGATGCCACCTGGGGCCGCTGGGATGCTGCAGGTGCTGCTGGTCCCTGGTGCTTCCTGGAGGAAGGGGCACCTGGGGCCAGCAGAGAAGGGCAGGGAAGGCACCAGAGGAAGGCAAGGGAGGGCACGTGCCAGCAGTGGCCAGTGTCTTGCTTGGCAAGCTGGGGCGAGCGTAGCCTGTTAGAAGGCCAAGAGGGAGCCAGACAGCAGGGGGCCTCAATGAGGAAACCAGGGAGAGATGACTGGTCCACACGGGGCTGCTCAGGAAGAGGGCAGGCAGCGGATCCAGGCTGCGTCAGGTCTGATGTAGGGGATGCCTTTGGTGGGGCCTGTTTGTATTTCTTCTTTTATTCTCCATCGAAAAGGTAAAGGGATCTACGTGTTCTCTACACAGCCTCCCAGGTGCAGAGAGGGCATGAGAGAAAGAGAGGAGAAAACTGGGGCTCAGAGAGGGGAAAGGCCTTGCTGGAAGTCACACAGCGCTTTCGCCTCACGCCCAGCCAGGGCATCGATATGGAAGATGGTCCCTGAGGACTCGCTTATGCAAATAAGGACAAGAATAATGGCACATTCCCCATTTTCATTTAAAAATAGTCACAGTAGCTGACACTCGTTTGGCACTTCCTAAGTGCCGGGTGTTGTTCTGAGCTCTTTACACTGTTAACCTTGGATCTTCATAGCAGCCAGAGGAGACAGGTCTTCTTATTTTTATTTCCATGTTACAGATGAGGAAACTCGGGCACAGAGAGCCTGAGTAACTCCCCCAAGGTCACTCAGCTGGGGCAAACCAAGCATCAGGGGAGCTCTTTACTGGCTTCACATCACAATCTCAAGTCACCCTGAGGAGGCGGCGCGGGTGGGGTTACTGGGCCTATTTTCCAGGGGAGCAGACCGAGGCCCAGAAGGCCTGGACGATTGCAGAGGAGGACCAATGCTGCGGTTTGGACCTGGCCATTCCAGGAGCCCTGGCCCCCTCCCCTGCGCCAGGTGGCTGGGCGTCTGGCGGGGAGGGAGGGAGTCGGGGTCAGGGCTCTGCTGCTCTTCATCCGAAGGCAGGAGGGCGCCCCCCCCCCCCCCAAGGACCGGCGCCATGTGCCTTGGCACCAGGGTTTGGAGGGAAAAGCTTTCCTCGAAAAGAGCGCTCTGATGGGCAACGGCGGGCCCAGCGTCCGCCCGCTGCGCGAGGGCGTGCGCGCGCTCGGAGAGCCCGGGCTCTTTGTGTGTCCGAGCCCGTGCGCGCGTGCGTGTGATGTGTGGGGGGTGTGTGTGTGTGCGCGTGCGTGCGGTGTGGTGTGGTGTGTGGGGTGTGTGTCCGCGTGTGGGGCGGGGCTGGGCTCCCGGCCCCGCCCCGGCCCCGCCCCCGGCCCGGCCGAGCTGGTATTTTTCCACCTAGCAGGATGGGTGATGCTGAGCGCTGCCTGCTCAGACAACAGACACGCGAGGTCAGGAAGAAGCCGCTTATAAATTACCGCTTCCTCCGCGCAGCCGCCAGCGCCGAGCTCCGGGCCCGGCCGCAGCCCCGCTCGCCGGCCAGCGCCGAGCCCCGAGGACCGCGAGCCCGGCCGCCGAGCCCCGCCGAGGAGGAGCGGAGCGCGCACGCCGCGGGCCGGAGACCCAGCGGGCGGGCAGTCCCCGGCGCGTGGAACCGAGCGCAGCCGAGCGCAGCGCCGCGGCCACCCCAGGTACCCGCGGGAGAGGGGGCCTCTGCCGGAGCCCGCGCTGCAGCCGGCCGGGCGGCCCGTGCCGGCGCCCCTTTCACCACCGAGGGCGGGCCGGAGCGTCGCCTGCTAAGTCCCGCCGGCGGGCTGTTATTGTTTCCCCTGGGAGAGGGCTCGGCTTCTCGAGTGGGCGGCAGGTGTGTGTCTGTCCGTATCGGTGTCTCAGGCTCACTGGGTGTCTGTGTGTATCTCCGTGTCCTTGTGTGTGTCTGTGTGTTTCTGAGGGTGGCTGTTTCTCCATGTCCCCAGCAGCGTGCACTTGTGTGCCCCGGTGTCTGCCTGCCCTTCTCTGTGTCCTGGGCTGTGCATGGTGTGTGGCGGCGTGTGTCTCTCATACCTGAGTGTGGCTGTGTCGCTGTGTCTTTAGGTGTGTGCGCTTGTGTGTCCTGGGGTGTGCCGGTGTGCACCTGTGTGTGTGTGACTGTGTCTCCGAGCACCTGGCTATGCACGTGTGTCCCCGAGGGTAGCTGTGTCCCGGGGTCCCTGGTTGCGGGCACTTGTGTGTCCTGGGCTGCACCTGAGGGAGTGTCCCGGGTGCCTACAGGGCCGGACGGCCAGAGCTCCTTCTCCAGGGCAGGCTGAGTGGGGAGAGGCGATAGGGCGGTGAGGCTCCAAGAGCGCTGCCCGTGCACAGCGTGCAGGTGGCAGTGCCAACATCCAGTCGCCTTGAGTGGCAGGACAGAGGCCCGGAGGGACAGCTGGGGGCCAAGTGGGCAGTAGGCAGGGCCGGCAGGACACATCCTCCTTTAGACTTTTCCCCTTCTTTCTGAGGGTTCCTCTTTTGGGCAAGAGTGTCTCATCCCCCTCCCACCAGGGAAGCCAGAGAGAACCTCAGGGACCTCCTGACAGCCCCAGAGCTTCAGCCTGGCGCGGAGGGGAACCCGGGGCACGCTCCTGGGCTCTCAGGGAGGTGTGTGCTGGGCTGGCCACCGGCTATTTTGATCACTGCCTGGCCTCTGCCAGATGCAAGCCTCCCCCAGGACCAGCCCCAAAAGCTTGGGAGGCAGCCCGGGCCCCCATTTCCTGCCTGGAACATAAATCAGCTCCACAACCGCCCAGACACTCGCATGGAGGGTCTTTGGGCTGAGGGTCAGTGGCGCGTGGCTCCATTTGGACTTCGGTAAGTTGGCCCACGCTTTGGCACTGTTGACGTTCAAATAAATGTCATGGAGGAGATCTTTTTGAAATTTCTTTTTCATTTTTTCTTGGCTGGAAGGGAGGGGATCTCATCCAGAGTCTCCTGGCCAGAAGGAGTTTATTTTTATGAGAGAGAGCAGGAGAGCGCTTAGCAACCGCCTGCTCCCTCTGACGGGAGCTACCCGGGAGCGTGCGGTGGGCATGAGGAGGTGTGGGGTGCAGTGGGGACAGGAACTTCATCGGGATGGTGTTGGGGGGATCCGAGGGGGCCCGAGGGCACTGGCCAAGAACCCACCTTAGGGTGGGACTGGCAGAATGGCTAGAGGTCTTAGGCCTGGCTCAGTCCCAGTGGAGCTTGGGCAACGACCTTTTTTGGCCTCAGTTTCCTCATCTGTAAAATGGGCGGAGTAGACCGGCTATGGGGCCAGCAGGGACTGAGAGGCAGGAGCTTGTCCCTAGGGAGCTGAGTCCCAGTGCGCTGTCTCGGTCTGAGTCGGCGGCGACCTTGGGTGATTTCCTCAGCCTCTCCGAACCTCCGCTTGGCTATCTGGGCAGCAAGGACGCCCATGCCAGCCCCACTGCGTCCTTGAGGGGATTGAGGGAGATGAGGCTGAATAAGCCTGTGGTAAGCTGTAAAGCCAGGCTCGGCTTCAGAGCTGCCGATTAGAGGGTGTCACGAGGCCCCAGGTCATTGCGGGGTGCGGCTGAGGCCAAGACGCACTCCCCAGCTCTGTCCTCCAAGGATACCCTTGCACAGCCTGACCCGAGGCGCAGCCACCGTCGACCTCCCTGCCCTGTCCCCCATCTCGTCCTGCCGTGACTGGGTCACATCTGCTCTGCAGAGTTGGAGGGCCTAGTGGGTAGTGCCCATTTTACAGATGGGCAAACTGAGAGCTGCCCGGAGGACTTTGCCTGGATTGGACAGCCGCAGGATTGGGCTTCAAAGGCCTCACTTGGCCAGCTGTGAGTTTTGGCCCCGTGGAACCTTAGTCACTGATGTCCTGGGGAGCCAAAATTGGACCAGGATCTGGGGAAAACAAGGGACAAAGGTGCCCCATCCTCAGGGCTGGAGGGTGAGTGCAGGGGCCCATTGGCACCTCATGTCTGTCCGTAGTTGTCCCTGCTCCCGTCTTCTCTGTGCCTTCTCGGGAATCCCTACCCTCCTCCTACACAAGTGTCAGCCCCCCAGGAGGCAGTCTGGGCTCTGCCATGGTGTTTCCGAGCTCCAGCTGGCCTGCCTGTCAACCTGTCAGAGGATTTGGGAGCTGTGCACTTCTCTGAAAGTCTTTCCAGAGGTCCGGAAATGATAAGACACTTGTGAGTCCTTGAACACGTTCCTGTATGTAGGCAGGAGCTGAAAAATAAATGACCACGAGCCTGAAACGCAGCTCGGCTGCAGCAGGAGGGCTCTGGGTGGGAGCTGAGGCTGGCCTTGGAACCCCAGGGTCACCCTGGCAGGTGTGGGCCGATGCCCCACTTCTGCAGGAGGTCGTAAGACAGAATCAGATTCTTTGGGGCTGCATCTCTCTGCTCCACCTTGGCCAGCTTATCTTGAACTCACGGGTCTGGGAGAAACCGCGGATGTGGAAATGCCCAGAGTGTGAACGAGAGCTGTTTGTAATGTGCCTCATCTAGTCGTTGATCAGCCTTGCCAAGGTCGGTTCTGGCCAGGCACTGCATTCGGGCTAGAATACTGGCTTTCGAGGAGCTCCTAGCCCAGCGGGAGCTGGGACGGTGTGGCAGCTGCTCTGACCACGTCTGTGGGGTGCTGTGAAGACTCGGGGGAGCAGTGTGCTTGGATGGCTGGGTCGTAGGCAGGGGGCACTTCAGCCTCTTAGAGGAAGTGATGTTGGCCTTGGCGTCTTTTGTGAGTGGAGGACCAGGATGGGCTGGCATTCCTGGCCAGGCCAAAGCAGGGGGAGAGGCCCCGAGGCATGAAATAGCTGAGCGCTTTCGCAGCACAAGCCTCCGAGGGTTCCAGCTGCAGAGAGGAACGGGGCAAGTGATGGAGTGCCTTGAGCGCTGGGTAAATGGGCTCAGGCTCTATTCTGAGGGCAACAGGGATCAAAATAGCATCCCACTGGGTTTGGGGACAGCGATGGAGCAGCCAGTGAAACCCAGGAGCCCGGAGAGCCCCAATGGTGAGTGAGGAACTAGGCTGAGATTCAGGCTGAGCCACTGCTGGTCGGGGCACAAAGCATGTTCCATGCCAGTGAATCTTGCCCTGAGCAATTTTTGTAAACACAGGGTGAAGGCCTGGCCATGCCTTTTAACAGGTACACGGGCCATTAACTTGTTGGCTTTGACCTCCCAGGGAGCACGAAGCCCTGGCGTCTTCAGGGTGAGTTATGTCAGTCCTGGACAGAGCTCCGGGTTTCCCTTCCACCTTGCCTGGTCAGAGGCTTCACTTGGAAACCTGAGCAGAGGGGCTGGGGTTAGGGTGGGGGGAGAGGGCAGAGAAGGAACATTGCTGTTCTGTTCTGTTTCTGACGCTCTATGAGTCAACCGACTCTCTTGTAAAAACCAACATACAAACAACAAATCACCCAAAACGATAAGAGGGGAGGAGGATGAAGGGGGCAGGGGCTAGGCAGCAGAACTACCTGAGTAACTTCCCACAAATTCAGAGTCTCAGGCCCGGCCTGGACACGCTGCATCAGCATCCCCAGGGGGTGGAGTCTGGGAATCTGCATCATTTAAAGTTTTCTCATGTGATTTCTTAAAAAATATTTTTAAATTGAGATATAATTTACATGCAGTGAAATGCAAAGATTCTGTTACAGTTTGATGAGTTTTGAGAAATTTATACACCTGTGTAACCACCACCGAGATCAAGATAGAGAACATTTCCAGTGCCCCCGAAAACTGTCTTGTGCCCGTCACCTCCCAGAGCAACCAGTCTCTGATTTCTGTCACCGTCGCTCGGTTTTGCGAAGCCTGGAGCCTCACACACGTGGACCGGGTGGCATGGACTCTTCCTGCCCGATGTGTTTGAGATCCGTCCATGCTGTGGAGAGTGAATCGGTAGTCCGTTCCTTTCATTGCTGAGTAGTATTCCAGTGTATGGACGTACCACAGTGTATTTATCCACTCTCCTCTTGATGGATGATGTTTGGGCTGTTTCTAGTTTGGGGCAATTATGAATAAAGCTGCTGTGAGCATTTGTGTACAAGTCTTTTTGTGGACTTATATTTTCATTTCTCTAGGAGTAGGACTGCTGGGTCGTAGGGTAGATGTAAGTTAATTTTATAAGAAACTGCCAAAGGATTCTATTAGTTAAAAAAAAAATACACCTCAAGCAATACAAAACCGTTTAAACTAAAATGATCCTTAAAGATCATTAAAGAAAAATGCAATCGAATCTTCAGTCCTCCGTCTGACTGACTGACGTCTGTCCTCTATCTCTGTTGCTGTGATAATAAAGGCCTTTAAGAGTATACACTGCCCTCTGCATACGGCTTTAACTGTACCCTTCCCATGGCTCCAGGGACATACCTCTTCTTTATTACTTTCTAGATCTGTTTTCCTTTCATTTTTGATATCCTCTTTGATCCAGGGGGTGTTTAGCAAGCTCAGTAGTTTTGTTTTGGTGTTCACGAAAACGGCATCAAATTGTTCTCGGTTCTGCCACTCTCTGTTCAAACAACAGACCATTGTGGGCCCGCCCTTGTCAGAACAGACAGATCTGCCAGGCCATTCTGAGCAGCTAGTCTGCACAGGGGAATCACTGACCTCGTCCATCCTGTCTTAATCGCCCTGACTGCCACCAGCTCGGGACCGCTCCCACCCAGTGACTTGGAACTTGCCCTGAAGGTGGGCAGAGAAGC